CAAAACTGACTCTAGTTTCTTGACTCAAAATTCCAAATATAAATGATTTTCTAGGTACATGCATCCACAACAGTAAAAATTACTAAAACTTTGTACACTTAAAATGGATAGTTCACTCAGAAATAATCATTTATGTGACCAAGTTGTTCCAACCCTTTTCCTTAAGTGGAACACAGAAAATGATACTTTGAACAAACATCTCAATGTTTTTTCTTTGATCATATCATGAAAATCTATGGGGTCCAAACAACATTAAATGACATTAAATAATCAATCTGTTTGCATTTTATACAAAAATCTAAGTAAATAGTATTTATCTATAGCAAAAGTTTTGAGAACGGCTTTAGCAAGCTTTAGTTTACAGATGCCACTTGCTAATTTGTATCCAATGCAGTGAAGTTTAGTATATTAAAAAATGTTTTGGTGCGAGTGTATATTTATGCCATATCTACAACAGCAGCTCATTTATTTTTGTTCATTTTTCAGAAGCAACAACTAAAAGCCCAGATGCAGTGGCTAGCGATCTTCTGAACCAAACACAGAATTTGGCATCTTTAAACTCAACTGAGGTCAGTCAGCTGGTCAACCAGTTAGAAAATCTTATCTCCGCACCCAATATTAGTCTGGATCTAGGCCGATCAGTGCTGTCCATCATCAACAACTTTCTAAACAGCTCTGCAGATACTGTGGCTGCCTCCTCAAACCGGTGAGACACGTGCAACGCAAGCATTCAATGTCTGAAACTGTCAAACTTGAAATATTGAATGCAAATCATGTATTGTGCTTTGTAGATTAATCAAAGCTGTGGATAATTTGGGTATGAAGCTTGTGATTCGGGACCAGACTGAAAACATCGTATTTGATTCACTCGCTTTGACTGTGACCAAAGTTGATGGGACCAACTTTGGGAAAACATCATTCACAATTGCAGATCCCTTAAACCCACAGGTAATAACAACTGAAGTCCAAAGCAATTCATTAACATTTTGGATGCTTTTGGAAGTCACACTCAAAATCTGGTGTTTAAATTTCTGGTTATACAGGTCACAAAAGGACTTCAAAGACAAGTCAGGGCAGTGGAAAGTTCCTCCCCCTTGGCCAAAATAACACTACCTGCATCTCTGACAGAGAACCTGTCTCCAGAAGAAAAGAAGATAGCCTCTAGAGTCCAGTTCACCTTCTTTCAGAAAAGCACATTTTTTCGGGTAAAACTGGGTTGATTGGAGTTTCATATAGAACACTGTATCATATCGAACACATCGGCACAGAGCATTGTTTGTAAATAACATTTTCAGAAAACCAATTGCCCTCCGATTAAACAAAAAAGTTTACAGAAAAATTTAAATTCTGTCATTAATTATTCACTTTCATGTCATGCTGTCTTTTCCAATTACCATGTATTTAAGCTATAAATAGGATGCAAAAGCACCATAACAGACACCCTACCCTGACTAGATAACATTTTCAGAAATAAAGTTAGCAGATTTGAATCTGCTCATCAGCTGATTCTTTGATTTTGCATCTATCTACAGGATAAAACCCTGAGTCCAGAGAAGCTGAACAGCCACATACTAGGCTCTAGTGTGGCTAACCTGTCAATCAAAAACCTGAGGGAGAATGTTACATTTACTCTGAGGAATAAACAGCCCGTTGCGGTGTGTGTGCAATGCATACATATTTGCTGTACATTATATCTCAATGCCAGCTGAAACCTGTCTGATCTATCTCTTCCTTAACTCCTTTCCCACAGGGGAACTATTTAGCTTCCTGTGTTTTCTGGGACTTTGACCAAAACGGTGAGATTACACACCTCCAGGAATTCCTGAGAAACTGTGAAATATGTGATCTGTCTGATTTCTTAATTAATGTCTTTTAATTCCTATGTGTTTTGGATTTTCTAGGAGGTTTAGGAGGCTGGAATGGCAACGGCTGCTCTGTCAAAAACAGCAGCACCGAGAACGAAACTGTCTGCAGCTGCAATCACCTGACAAGCTTTGCTGTACTACTGGTATGTATGTCAGTGTGGGGTTTTTTTTCACAGAAATGCCCACATCTTTTATCTAATTAACATTTCACATCATGTCTAATTAACATTTACAAGTCAGAAAGACTCTTGATTTTTAAATGCTAAAATACAAACAGAAATACACTGAACATAGAGAGTGATGACTGCCTCAACAATGGATTTTTATTTGGCATGCCAATATTTAAAAACATTACATTTACGTACACATTTTTTAAAATCTTTATTTACTCTTTAAACATTTTTATAACTGTCAGAAATACACATACATATACTGTATGTTATATTTCAAAGGTTTGAGTTCCATAAATAAAGTAGTCTCTTATGCTCACCCAGACTGCCTTTATTTGATCAAAACTACCGTAAAACCAGATATTGTGAAATATTATTACTATTTAAATAACTTTTTTTTTAATTTTAATATAGGTAATTTATTCATGTGATGGCACAGCTGAATTTTCAGCATCATTACTCCAGTCTTCA